TGCTTTTTTTTTTTGTGCCGATCAGGACAAAAATTCCCATTTTTAACCAGAATTAAAGGAATATTTTGTGTTTTTTTTCCCCCCAGACCAGGATGGGGATAAGAGGCTGACCCTGTCAGAATTCATCTCCTTGCCCGTGGGCACGGTGGAGAACCAGCAGGCTCAGGACATCGATGATGACTGGGTGAGGGACAGGAGGAGGGAATTCCAGGAGGTCATCGATGCCAACCACGATGGAATCGTCACCATGGAGGAGCTGGAGGTGAATCCCCACCCCTAAGACACAGATATTTCAAAATACACCTTGGAAACACAAAAAAAAAATGAGTTACAGCTCAGTTTTTAATAAGTGTTTCCTTTAAAAATGGAGTATTTCCATTGCATTTTAATTTGATTTCAAATCTAGCATTAAAATCCCCAAATATTTGAATTACAGCTCAATTTTTAATAAGTGTTTACTTTAAAAATTGAGATTTCCATTGCATTTTAATTTAGAATGCAGCATTAAAACCCTAAAATATTTGAATTACAGCTCAATTTTTAATAAGTGTTTCCTTAAAAAATGGAGTATCTCCATTTCATTTTAATTTAGAATGCAGCATTAAAACCCTAAAATATTTGAATTACAGCTCAATTTTTAATAAGTGTTTCCTTAAAAAATTGAGTATTTCCATTGCACTTTAATTTTATTTAAAATCTAGCATTAAAATCCCCAAATACTTGAATTACAGCTCATTTTTTTATAATTGTATGTGATAGGTTGACTTGGGAAGAAGAATTTGATCTTGAGTTTAATTTGAAGCCCAAATTCCACAAATATTGCTTGGAATGAGCTGAAAAATCTGAAATTTCTGCAGGAACAGCTGAGAAAACAGGGAAAAAATATTAGAATTTAGGTCCTGAAAATTGATGGAATTTGATCCTGAGTTTAATTTGAAGCCCAAATTCCAGAAATATTGCTTGGAATGAGCTGGAAAATCCTGGATTTCTGCAGGAACAGCTGAGAAAACAGGGAAGAATAATAGAATTTAGGTCCAGGTAATTGATGATT